ATTCGGTCCCGCATCCTGAAGAGCGCGGAGGGCGACCCGCGCGGCAAGAGAGACCAGCCCCCGCCTGGGGATGAGCCCGCGCCCCGGGGCCGCTGCGACTCCCGGGGCACCCTCCTGAAGACCCCGCCAGGAAACGCCAAGTTCTCGATCATGCCTGCCTGGCAGAAGTTCTCGGATGGGGGCGCAGAGACCTCCAAACAGAGCGCGGGAGCTGAAAGCACGAGAAAAAGGCCCGGGCTGGGAGCCAGCGACCAGACAGCGCCCCCGCCCCTGGCTGCTGAGAGCGATGAGACCCAGAAAGGCCCAGAGCATGTGGGGGCGCGCCAGGAGCCAGCAGACACCACCGAGGGCTGCAAATTTGCCAAAGACCTTCCATCATTCCTTGTTCCGAGCCCGCAGTACCCTCCGCAGAAAGCAGTGGCCCAGGCGGAGCCCGTGACCGGGTCGAGCAGTGAGACCGCCGGTGGCGCGGGAAAGCCGGACCCCGCGTTGCCAAGTGGGGAGGAAAAGGCCTCCTCACCTTTTGGGATAAAGCTGAGAAGGACCAACTACTCCTTGCGCTTCCACTGCGACCAGCAGGCAGAGCAGAAGAAGAAGAAGAGGAACAGCAGCACTGGGGACAGTGCAGAGGCGGGGCCGCCGGCACCAGCGTGCGCGGATGGAGAGAAGGCGGCAGAGGGTGCTCCGGCCCTTAAGCATGGCCCATCCCTCCCCGCAGAGGGCAAGCAAGGCCCCGGCAGCTGGAAGGACCCTGCCGTCAGCCCTTCCAGCCCACCTCCCGCAGCCCAGCCTGGACCCCCACCGGTCAGCAGCCAGGCCCCGGCCCCGGAGCTCACCAAGGCGGCAAACAGAATGCCGATGGCGCAGAAGCCGGCCCTGGCGCCCAAGCCCTCCGGTCAGACGCCACCGACCTCCCCGCTCTGCAAGCTGAGCAGGCCCTACCTGGTAGAATTGCTGGCTCGGCGGCCGGGAAAGCCTGACCCGGAGCCCGGTGAGCTGTGCAAGGAGGGCCAGGAGCGCCAGGAGCCTGGGCCACGCTCGCCACCACCTCCCGGTTGGGAAGAGAAGGAAGAGGCGGAAGCAGAGAGGAAAGCTGCTGCCCCACAGGAGAAGCCTTCCCAAACGCCTGAGGCCGGGAGGAAAGGTGCGTAGCCCGGGGTCGGAAAACTGCCTCTGTCCGGCTGGTTGTCCGCGTCACAGCTAAAGCCGGGCTGCCCGAGGCGGGAATTAGCCAGTGGAGCGCCAGTGGCAGCGGTTCCCTTCATGAGAAGCCCGGTTGCCATTCCTGGAGGGAGGGAACCTTAGTGAGGCTCTTTACTTTTGTGAAGAGGAAACGTTTGTGGCCCAAAGCTTTTTGGAAAGTTGATTGAGCCACATGCTGGCTGGAAAGGGGCCCAGGGCCCGGGGCAAGCAGTCTGAACCACCGGCAGCAGCAGGGCTAGGTGGAGAAGACAAGCATGACCCCGAGCTTTTCATGCCATGGATGTGGGGAAGGGCGCGGTGAGTGGTTTCAAAAGGCTTTCCCTTGGCTATCGATAAGGTGGAAAGGTGAAGCAGAGACATCCTGGGATAGGTGCAGGGTTCCTAAGGAGGGATTACGGTCACACCTCATTTCTCGAACGTCTCCCATCTTGAACAATTCGATCCCCAACCAAGCTATTCACAGAAAGAAATGTCGGTTGTCGAACCAATCTTCGGTTTTTGACCTGACAGCCCCTTCATGCTGATACTTCAGCATGACAAAAAGCATCTCTCAGGCAACAAACGAAGGAGAGAGTGCTTTTGTAGCTGGTGAATTCAGTGATTAGCACAATCTTAAAAGATAAAGAGGCCCTCAACGGTGCTGATGTTGCGAAGGGTGTGAAAGAAGCAAGGATCACAGGCAATTGAAGAGGCAGAAAAACTGTTGATTTGGATAAAGGAAAAGCAGGTGGCCAGTGACAGCATTTCCTAGGCAGTGATATATGAACAAGCAAAGATACGCTGCTTCTGACCTGAAAGACGTCCCTGGAATGAGTGCTGAAAGTGATTCCTTTAAGGCTAGTAGCGGGTAGTTCAATAAATGTAAGGAAAGTAGTGTTTGTTTATGGATTAAACAGTACATTAGACATGTGCTGTACACAAGAAAAGGAGGCAGCTAAATCGATGTTTCTCTCTCATCGATGTTTCTAACTCGCTATCCCTCTCTCTTTCTCTCTGTGAAAAATCAATAAAATATATTTTTAAAAAAAAAAGAAAAAGAAAGGTTAAAACAGGGAGTCATTTGGGGGGGTCTGAAGTGGATTAAGTCTACCAGACCTGAGGCCCTGGACCTAACTGTCCCCTACCTGGGCTCCTGAGCATTAAAGAGAAAAAACCAACATGATATAAAAAAAATGTTAGTTACATGCAAACAAGTGGTTAGAATAAGATGGAACTTGAAGACATTGTAGAAAATAGGTTTACCTTTCATCTAGCGCAATATTCCACCTTTGTGTAGAAATTACCTAAAAATCGATACAGCAGTCTGGTAGTATTAATTCAGTTTACATTATTTCTTTAAAATGGGGGGAAATGATTTAGTTTTTTAACAAATCGCTTCTCGAACAGCCTTCCGGAGCTAATTAAGTTTGAGAGCCGAGGTTCCACTGCATTTGCTACTTTTGGATTGGCTGTGGGACAACAGTCCGAAAGCTCGTGCGTAAGCAAGCTGTGGTGGCGTCTGGGCTGTCAGCCAACTCCCTCAGATAAACGCCATCTGGAAGCTGATGCGAAGTTTCGGCGTCCATTCAGGCATGGAGGCAGTCTTTTGTTTCGGCCAACAGTCATTACCTGGTGGACCTCCCTTACATCTCTCTCCCCTTTTCTGGCCCACTGTCATTTAATGTCGGACACTCCCAAATTTTTCTCATCATTTTCCCACTCTTCACCATTTTGGAAATCCGAACTGATTCTGCTATGTATCTGGGGCTCACGCCCTTCATATTTACCGAACACAAGTTAAAGGTGCCCACGGCAATGAAATACCCCAATGAATGAAGATGCCCCCGTCATTGGGAGGGGCAGTGAGGGTAAAGACTGGGTTTGCCTAGAGGATCAACTGCTGTCTCTGGGCAGTAGCAATACCACAGTAGGCAGGTAGGGGGCTTCCAGCAACTCCACCGGCCTAGGAGCCTCTGCGTGAATAATTGGCTGGGTCTCAGGTTTATGCAAAATGCTCTACTAGACACCCCCACGCCACCAGCTTGCCACTGGGAAGCCCTCCAATAAAGAAATTGTAGAGCCACCCTCACTCCTGGCTGCCCCTCTTGGCTCTTCAGACCGGATGTTTGGGACCGCTCCCTGGCCATTTGGATTGGCTTTGGGACCCCTAAGAGCGTTCACCTGGTAGTTCTCACGTCTGTTTTGCAGAGCAGGCCAAGTGTGGCCATAGCCCAGAAGTCTCACATCTCGGAGAAATTCTCCCCTGAGGTGTTTTAGGGAGGGATTGTTTTTATTTCTTCTGTTTAATTGTTTAGGGTTAGGGTGGTTCTTGCAAAGAAACAAGCCTGTGTCCTGAGGGGTATTGGTTGATTGCTCACTCTGCCATCCATTTAACCTAGACTTGCCCTGTTTCCTGGACTGTCCACCAGCAGTTTCCAAACCATTTCTCCCTGATGGTTTCTGTCTGTCCTGACAGTGAGGAGCCTTTGGTTTTCCTTTCAGCCTCTGTACTGGGCCCCAGGGAGCTAGCCACAGTGAGTCCCTGGGAGCCCATTAAGAAAGGTCCCTTAGTTGGAAGCAAGTCCCGTTGGCTTTCAGAGCTAGGTATTTTGGGGGCCTTGTCTCTCAGGCAGAAGTCTTAGAATTTGGGGCACCAAATGTAGGGTCTACCCCCGCCCCCTTTCCTCCCCCCAGGTTGTGAGTTGCAATGCCTGGGGTGGGATTTATGGTGAAATTGTGTCTCAGTCTCTCCTATTCATTTGCCCAATGCAGTGGCTCTCAACCTTGGCTGCACATTAGAATCACCTGGGAATCTTCTTAAAATCCTGATTTCTGGGCTTCATCCTCCAGAAATTCTGTTTCTTTGTTATGGGGCGGGGCCACAACATTAGTAGTAACAAAGAAACAGAATTTCTGGAGGATGAGGCCCAGAAATCGGGGTTTTAAAAAGATTCCGAGGTGATTCTAATGTGCAGCCAAGGTTGAGAACCACTGACCCAATGTGTAGGCGTCACTCAACTAGTTTGTGGATTTTAGTCAGAGGCAGTTGTTCTGTATGTAGCTGCAGACTCAGTATGTCTCTGGGAGGAGGGGGTTCGGGACCCTATGTCACCATCCTGAAACAGAACACCAATTTTTAGTTTTTTATAATATATTTTATTGATTTTTAGAGAGAGAAGGAGAGGGAGAGAGAGAGAGAGAAAGGGCAATAAGAGAGAATCATCCATCTGCTGCCACCTGTACGCCCCCTACTGGGGATAGAGCCTGCAACCCGGGCATGTTCCCTGACCCGGAATGGAGCCTCAAGCCTCTGGGTGCCTGGGTCCATGCTCAACCACTGAGCAATACCAGCCAGGCCCCCACTTTTAGTTTTCACATTAGCTTTTGCACCAGTAACTTTTATTGTTTTTGTTTTTTTTTTTTACAGGGAGGAACGGAGAAAGATAGTTAGAAACATTGATGAGAGAGAAACATCAATCAGTTGCCTCCTGCACATCTCCTACTGGGGTTGTGCCCGCAACCTGGGTATATGCCCTTGTCCGGAATCGAACCTGGGACCTTTCAGTCCGCAGGCCGACGCTCTATCCACTGAGCCAAACCGGTTTCAGCTGCACCAGAAACTTTTGTAGTCATCAAAGCCCCTCTCACAGCCTGGCCTGCTCCAGCACACTCCTATCTTCTCCCCTAAAAAATAATGTTCCAATGCCGCATCTTTCTCTTACACTTTTCCCTTTGGTTATAATGTTCTACCAAAAGCTATTCCTGCTCCTGTTTTCTTTATCAGTATCCAGATTCTAGGTTGTCAGGCTCCACTAATTGACTTTTTCTTTATTTGGTAGAAAAGAAGCATGAAAGCAAGGACCGTATGCCTTGTGAATGGTTGCTGCCTAAAGACTCTTCTGTCTGACTGTAGACCAGGGCTGACCAAATTTGTTTGACTAAACACCCCATTGGAATAAATTGACTGGTCCTCCAATTTATTTGTTAACTGTGTCCATGTTAAAACCCCTGGAGCGCCATATATACACTTAGGGTGCAATTCACTGAAGCAGTAGCGGATGTAAATCCATATTGCAAATTGTGGCATTATCTTTTATTTCTTTGGCCAACTTCTTGTCAGATCTGATTTCTTCATAAAATGGCAGGCAAAGCGCTTGTCAGCTCTACTGTGGCCTTATGCTTGCATTATTGGAAGTATAATAAATCTGTGGTCTGTTTGCAGGAATTGTCCATTTCATAAAGGGTCATTTAGATCAAAGGAGATAGGACATTCATAAACTTACCTAACCGCAGAACCTCACCGTATGCTAAAAGCCAAACCAGTGAGGACAGGATTGCTGGTTCTCGTCTGAGCACTCCCAGCTTCCCCCGGGAGTCTCTACACATGCCATTTGTTGTACCTGGCCTTCCGGTCTATGGGCTGAGTGAGAATGTCAATGCCAATCTAAACATCAAATACTAGAGGCCCGGTGCACAAAAATTTGTGCACTCAGTGCGGAGTCCCTCAGCCTGGCCTGTGCCCTTTTGCAGTCTGGGACCCCTCGAGGGATAACCACCTGCTGGCTTAGGCCTGCTCCCCGGGGGATTGGGCCTAAGCTGGCAGTCAGACATCCCTCTGGCAGCCCAGGAGCCCTCGGGGGATGCCCACTTGCCAGTGGGGAGCAGGCTTAAGCTGCAGTCAGACATCCTTAGCGCTGCTGAGGAGGTGGGAGCGGCTCCCACCACCACCGCTGTACTGGCAGTCATCAGCCTGGCTTTTGGGTCCCAGTGGGGGGGCACCACA